AAATCAAGTGATGTAATGTGTTGAATATATTTTAAATGGTAGCATATTAGTTTTTCACTGGGGGTCGCTGAGTTGTTCTGTCGCAACGGTGACAGGTAATGCCATCTCTAAAGAGAGGGTGCAACAGCCGGCAGAGTTTACATCTGCAGCAACAGCAGCCACAGTGTTCCCCTAAGACTCCAATGAATTAATAAATTCAAAACAATTCCATCGCTGTAATGTACATGTTCCATTGGAATGGAGGGTTGTAAGAGAGTGCTGCAATCACAGTCACAGCCAATGTTTTTCTCCGGCCACCTGCGCATTAAACAAAGGGATTTCATTTCAACTTGCAACCAATCTCTCTTGGACTTCGCAGCAAAATGATAATAACCCAGATTACTTTTTCGTACAAGAAAAGCATAAATCATGTCAAGACTTGAAGGCAAACAGAAGATAGATCCTCTGAATAAGAACAATGGAGCATAGGCACTATTTAGAGCAGAAATTAGAACAGAGTTATTGGGGTAACAAATTTACAAATGTCATCACTTTGAACTCTCTTGGATACACAGAGACCCAGAAAACATTCACAAGCATTCAGTAGAGTCACCCTTGGAATCAGATGCTCCCTGATTCTTCTTTTTTGTCCTCATGAACAAAGTTTTCAGGTCAATTCATTTATCAAAGTCCCCATCCTCAGCAGTGGTAGAAGAAGAAAAGTATATAGTATTTAAACAAAAAAAAAAGAGTTTACAATCCAATTACCAATGAACCATTAAGAAAAGCACCCAAAAAGAATGGGGATTGGGGAGCAAATCCACATGATAGATATTACACAGATATTTAAATTTCAAATCTCACACTTAGGGTTTCACTGAGCCAACTGAAGTGTTAGCTCTAGGCCTTAGGTTTACTTATCAAGGTCGTCTTTTAGGCTTCACTTTATTGATTTTATTAATTCTTTCCATGGTGGATTATGATATTTTCTGTTCTACTTTAAGGGTTAAGTTGAAAACTTTTATCAAGTATTGCCTCCCCTGCAATTGAGACAGTCTTCTTATAATAATTGAATAGTTTGTATATTTTATTTTCAGGATCATGGCGAGTAAGGCTTAATATCTTGTGTCAGGCCCACGAACTAAGAGTGTGATTGGTTCAGATCAAGGTCATTTTCTTACTTTGTCTTTATGTTTATTGGCTATCATATAATTATATTGCATTGTCATCGAAGCCAGAGCTTTGGGCTCAAATTGGTCCCTAGATCGCCAATGAGCAGGGATTAAACTTGAACTTTGGAAATTCTCAACCACCACACCAAAGACTGAACTGGGTCCTAAAGCTTCTTCTGCCTGAGACATGGCTAAGCATCATTTGTCAGTTGGTTACAGCAGAAAGGCATGCATTTCTGGGTTTTTTTTTCGGAAGAGGGGACTAATTATGAGATCCCTGGTTAGCTTAGTCCCCTCAAAGAGGGAAAATTGACAAGAGGAAGCAAAGTTGCAGAATTTCGAAAGAAGGTGTTTTGTTGTAAAAATAAAAATATCAACACAAGTCGCATTCATTCAWTGGGTATTACTGCTGAAATCTGTAAAAGCAATATGAGTAAGCACCATCAAGAAAGAAAACAGAGGGATGATCTACATCAAACATGGGAAAACTATAAAGGTCTTGCCTTCTCGAGAAGAAAAGTTAAATAGATAAAAAGGAAGGAACAATTCGATTTATTGATGCTTACAAAAACGATCAGTTTGGAGTGGGGTAAACAGGTCGAAATCTCCATGTATCGGACGTGAACCCAATACAAGCCAACGTACCCACCAACGCTCCCAAGTGCTGCCACTCGGTGGACAGCTCATTGATCAAGACTAGAGCTAGAGCAATTGGTTCGGTTTCAGCTTCAGCAGTTATACTTATCCAACCCGTTCAGTGGAGGACCATATCAGAATGGGTTTGGGGGACCCAGTTCGAGAAAATGCCAAGTGGCAACCATATCAGATGGGGACCCACTTAGGGAAGATGCAAGTAAGTAAATCCCGATGCATAGGATAGGAGCTCCCCCAATGGAGTTCAAATCAACCCCCAGCACATTCCCACTGTGTATTAGGAACATCTCCTGATGATAATCCAAAAAATGATGATATCATCATCTGGAGCTGTTCCCAATACAAATTCACGGCGGAAATATGCTGTGGGACGTTGTGGGGGGTTGATTTGGTCTCCCCCCAATGGCTAAACAATAGACATTGGTTTCCACTTTCCAGAGTAAAGGACTAGGATAAGGGGTTGCCACGTAAGCAAGAATGACAAGTCATAGAATAGGGGGCCCACATATACTAGATTTGGCCATGTAGTACAGTAGTAGTGCCATGCACCAGTTAGGTCTCTTTTAAGTGTATGACCTGTGGTTGGGTCCAAGGCTTCAATCAGAAAAATGGAGGACCACAGAATAAAACAGAAGGAATTAAATGGGAATATATAGGGGAGCAAAAAACGGATTTGGAGATGAAGACAAAAAGAGATGGGATGGCAAGCTAAATGGAAATTCCACTGCACCCACATCTACTGCCTTCGTTTTGGAGACAGAGTTGAGAGCATAAAGTGAAAATGTGATTTGATGGATCATAGGTGACTACTACTCCAATTCTCCTCGCCGATTTTTTCCCACATTTGGGTCCTTTTTCTTCAAATAAAATGTACAGTAATTGCCCAAGTAACTCAATCATATTTATGGTTAAGGAACGGCTTTCTGTGATCAAAAGCTTGAGATTGATTTTTGTAGGTCATGCTTCAAGTTATGAGAATCTGTGAAATGTAAATCTATATTTACAAACGCCAAGCATGGTTGGTTAATCCATGCATCAAAAGTTTGGCCAGATCAATATGGAAATGTGGGTGGGTTCAGATTTTATTGCCCCAGAGAAGAGACAGTGATCTAGTGATCATCGTTACAATTTAGGGACCGGAGTACCATCCACTTTGAAATCAATCATATACAGAGGAAGATTTAGAATTTAGCCAAAACCGGAAGCCACGATTACATCTACCGATCTACGTAGTAAATTCGTACACTAGGTGAAGGTGGCAAATGTTTTTCCGTGGAGATCATTATTGCCCATCATGAGCGACGACTGCCGAGGATTTTAGGGTATCATCGGCTCTCGATAACGTTATAGGATGTCGATTTCAGAAGTGATATACCACCATAGGTCCAATCTCTCTCTCTCTCTCTGAACGTGGAATTTTAGCATCCCCATGTGACCTGCTGTTGTAGGAGTGCAGAAAAAGCTAGGCAAAGCTTCTAAAAAATCCCAAGATTTCTATTTGCTTTTGGGGATATATCTGGTCTCTATATAGTCCATTTCAGGTTCAGGTTCTCCTTTATCTTTCGTAACGGCTCCTCAGACACCAGAATCTCAAGAGCCTCTGCTTCATCTAAGGCTCGAAGTCCTCATTTTGATGGTCTACAAAATTTTACTGGCTTTTCTGTCTTTTGAGTTTCAATGTGAATTAAATGTGTTATTCCGTCTGAGTTTAATGAGGTTCTAGTCTTCTAGTGTTTTAGACTCACAAAGCCCAGGAAAGTTCCCGGGCGTTCTTGACACCTTTAAGCTATTTCAGTTACTTCTGGTGAAACTGGTATTTCGTAGTCTTCAGTTTTTCTGGTGAAACTAGTATTTCGTCTTCTTCAGTTTTCAAACTATATGAGAAACTTTAAAGAGTTACTGTGAAACAGTCTCAAGAGAGTTACAGTCCACTCTTTCCATAGAGTAACCAGACTTCATACAGCACCTCCTCAATGTCCTCTACGAAGTTGAAAAGGCTTCTCAATCCTTCTATTTTTGTGTAAAACTTTGAAGCTTCTGTAAAGTGTTTTATAAGAAATTCCAAATTCTGTTCTCACTCTTCTGATTACCAGAACCAAGCATCTGAGTCTGACTGTTCGAAACTCTAAAAGATTGCAAGTTTCATGCAGTTTCCACTTCTCAAAGACAGGCGGCAAATGCTTCTAATCAGGAGTTGGAGGAACTGTTCCATTTCTAGTAATTAGATGCACCGTAGCCACTTGATACCACCCTCCTGAAGAGATTGCATGAACACAAGGGACCCAGAAACCAAAGCAGATTTATAATATAAACTTATTCTGGGTCTTGCACACGGATGGGTTGGGTCGGAGTACTGACATGCATGAACGATTATGGTAAGAAGCATTTCAAAAGCCTTTACTGGAGAACGAGAGCAGCAATGAAGAAGGTCATCAAAAATGACGGAAAGCAACGGCTCGCATTCCACTATGATCCTTCAAGCTATGCACTCAACTTTGACGATGGCTGCTGCAACTCAAGAGAGGACATTAATGCAGTCCAACAGAAGCAATCTGAGGAGCCTCCTGCTAGTAGAAACTCTACTTGGGTTTATGTTCTCTGGGTGAAATCATATTGATATTAGACAAGCATTTCAATTGTCTTTCCTTTTCTTTTCTTCTTTCATTTTTTATGTACTTGGATTAGTTCAATCTATTGAATTATGTCTTTTACATAGACTAACTTCTGTGAAAAAGTAAACATGTCCACAATCATTCTAGGATGAGACCAATTGCTGAACTGGTTTTCATAGTGTTTTTTCTACCTACTAGAATGTTCATACCGCCTCAATCTGAGGACTTTCCTCTAGTCGGGAGGCAAGCGTAGGGTAGCAATCTATCTCTTCCTTGCAGGGCATATCAAACTATTTATTTTGCCTCGTATCTGTAGGTAGGTCTTCAACTCTATTTATGAAGCTATTCCACCTCACAAGGGCATCTTCCCCTTCCTGTTGGAGAAACTGGAATGTAAGGGCCCAATGATGTGAGAAGTTTTATCTTCTGGACCTCTGGCTTCTGTTCAGGGAAGTGGGTAAGATTGTGATGTTGGGGATATATCAAACTTACTGTGCTCACAAATTAAAAGAATGTTTTGGTTGCTTTGTTCTTTCCTTTCAGGAAACATTAATGTACTTGTTTTAAAAGAAATCAGCCAACGTGTATAACTCTTCAATTGCTATTACATAGGCCCCATAAATGTTCTTTGACAAGTCAGAAATTGGAACTGCATCACAAATAACCACCTTGATCGATGCATAAGCAGAAAATATGAAATATCAAGCAGGCACACATTTTGAGAGTCCTATTAAAGTAAAGAATCTTCCTTTATCATTTATATATTTCTGACGGTTTCGATGCACCTAACCATCAAACAAGCACGTCTCTTTCAAACTGTCAATTACTTTACATTATCGGAGCCCTAACCAAGCGATTCTATGGAAATAAAGACTTCCACTGACCATCTAAGACGATACTCGTTCAGCCTTCTCAGAAATCGATGCTGAGAAGCTCGATGCAGTACGAAAACTGCGGGATAGAGCATCCCTACAGAAAGATCACATTCATTTAGTACATGAAAATGGTAAGAACATTTAGAATCGTTTCACCTAGATAAAAAAAGAATTTGCCCTTGTCGTACATACTTGATATTGGAATGTAGGTACTTGCATCAGACCAAGTTGATTACTGGGATTAATGTGGAATTTGATGAAAAAATCACAAAATAGAATAGCTTTCCCCCACTAAAGAGTTCTGATATCTCTTTCTCTACACACATGCGCAAAAGAAAACAAAAACAAAAACAAAACAAAACAATAATAAACAAGTATTTTTACACTATAAACCTTCGTAAATGAATGACTAATAACGATGATAATTCCGGTGTTGAAAGATGTATGTGTATTACAGCTTTTTCAAGTAATACAACAAGGGAAACCCAACATAAAGTCCAGTCAAATTTTACATGAAAAACCAAAACAAGCCTTCAGGATATAAATGATGAAGAACGATTTTCAAAACAAGAATTTATACAACACAACACCAAAGGCCAGAGAACTGCTTCAGAGGGGAATCATACTACCTCAATGGTACCAAAAAAATCCAGGAACAAACCAAGACATTTATATGAAAAAGTATCAATATTACTCCTTAATCTGCTTGGTCAATTTGCAGTGCAAGATGCTAACCTGGGTCCTTCACACAAGGAGCTTTTATGTCCCTTAAATAGCAGGATCCTCAAGCGCAGCAGTGGATAAATTGTTTATCCGTGGATAAACAGCCTTCTCATCAAGCTGGTTCTGTGCCCAGATGAGCATCTTTAACAAGCTTGGAAGCTTCGGGTCTGTTGTTTGATATAGCATTAATACCAATGTAAGTATAGACCTTTAGAGATTACCAGAAAATAATAAAATGAAGATCAATCAGGATGACTTTACAACTGGAACAAGTACAGTAATAATCTTAGCAACTGTACAGCTTTGAAGTTAGAATCAGTAAGAGAAAATGTCATCAGTCATATGCATTGGGTGTATCTCAATATGGAAATGATGTGCTGAATTAACTTAAGATTTCCAACAGAAAGAGACATAGGTAGGAATTCTTTTGCATGATGAAGCAACAAAAAGCACACCCTTACACAACCCTGTGTTTTTCAGCATCTCCTTGGTGAAAGGATACTGACCAATACAAGCATAACTCTGCTAAAAAGAGAGAATCAGAAAAAGGAAACACAATCACTTAAATAATAGAAGGTATATCTTCTTTTAAGCTATTCCTTATTCCATATTGAGATCACATGACAAAGAAACAAGATGGGTAAAAGTAATAGGAGAATGCCACCTAGGTTAAAAGAAACAGTTGTAAGGCCAGCAATGCCTTATGGAGTGAGTGTTAGGCAGTCAAGAAACAACATTGTCCAAAATGAGTCTCGCAGAAAAGAGTATATTGAGATGGACGAGTGGAAAAACTAGAAAGGATCAGATCAGAAATGAAGTCATTCATTTCTGACTTGTTCTCAGGGACGAAAATGGGGTTGGAGGTGTTTTTAGGGACGAAAATGGGGTCATCTCTGCCATGTTCTCAGGCCCAATTGGAGTGGGTGACTCCCTTAGAGCTGAGATCTTTGCAGTTATGGAAGGAGTCCAGAAAGCTGAGGAGTTGAACATCAAGAAACTCATAATTGAAGGGGATTCAGAGGTGGTGATAGGGTGGCTGACTAAAGATAAAAATGGTTTATGGAAGTATAACAATGAGAGGAGGAAATTCATGTGGCTGGTGTGGGAGATGGAAGTTAAGACATGTTGGGTTAAAAGATCGGCTAATTCCCTAGCTGAYGGTTTAGCTAAACAAGGGGCAGAAAGGGATTCACTGTTTTGGGCTAAGCTGCAACTTTAGTGTCATCTTTTTTTCTTCTTCTCTTTTTCTTCTTTTTTTCCTTTTATGAGGCGCTTTGTGGCTCTTGGAAGATAAGTGTGTTTGTCTTCCTTCCTGTAAATCTTCTACTGATGATTTAATGAAAGTGTTATTGATCAAAAAAAAAGAAATGAAGTCATTCAAAGAAACCAAGGAGTAGCTCTAACAGGTGATAAAATGAGAGAAAGCAGAGTAAGATGGTTTCATCATGTGCATAGAAGACCATCAACCACAACAGTAAGAAGCCATCTATTGCAAGTTGAAGGGGCCAGAAAGGCCAGGGGCAGACCAAAAAAGGACATAGGTTGAAGTAGTAAGAAATGATTAAGCACTTATATTTTAACAATGGACATGGCACTAAACAGATCGAAATAGCAAAACAGGATTTACGTAGCTGACCCCATATAGTTGGGACAAGGCTTAGATGATGTTGGTGATGACGATCACATGGTAAAGGAATATTGCACAAGTGTTGGACATATTAGATTGCATGTGTAATGGCATCTTCATAACTAAAATGCCCTAAAAGGCATATTAACCTCTTTTTCTTTTTATTGTTCTACTGACTCAACATTGATCAAGGATATAATTGCAGTTTGACATATAAAGCTGTCATTTTACAGAACAAGACCACAATAATTCTTTGGTTGAAAGAGAGTCAAAAAGATGCACCCAGAATTCTATATTAAACAAACAAAGAGGATTAGGGCTATAAACCACCTCATCTAGAAACATTTCTTTCATGCTTTTTTTTTTCAAAACAATGGTAACAGGTGATGACATAGCAGGGAGATGTTGGTAGGCTACTGAAGTTGAGAAGAAACATTACAACTTGGGCATGGGGTCTTAAAGGGTTCATATGTGAAACATTATAGACTTCTAGTCACTTTTAGAGTATATCTATAGCAGAACCAAGGTTTTAAATATTGATAACAGGCCAATACACCCCAACCAGCACATGCCACGCATCGACCTGTATCGAGCTGCACTTGTATATTTTTTTAGGTCTTTTTTTTTCAAACTGGTTCGGCGGGGGGGTCGGTTTAAGGCCCATCTACCCCCTGAACCAGGTCAGACCCTAAAACACCCACTGTAGGGGCATATCGGGGGTTGCCGATACGATACATATCGGCTGATACACCCCGATAGGTTTCAGTTTTTTTTATCCTTGAGCAGAACGCAAATCTGCTCATAAGATAGGATGGTGATGGTTTTAAGGCAGAAAGGTGGAAAAGATAGCAAGTTTCATCCAAATCCAGAAGAGGAAATGCTGCTGGAGTAGGATCTTTCAGGTCAATGCTGTAAAAGTGATGATTAGTTTGGGTTCTAAAAACAAACAGAGACAGGTGGCTGGTCATTTATCATATATAGAACTATTCAGTGTAGTTTACATTAAAGTATTTCAGGTAAATATATACTAGCGTGGAAAGTCATGAATCAAGGAAAAAAACACTAAACCCACAATAACATGTGTGCATGATATACAGAACAAGCCTGTTTAGAATTTAGCTTTCAAGGCCCAAAATATAGAGACCTGGCGCAATCTAGAATTATCCTCAGGATGGTGTTGATTGATTATAGAAAACATCCAAATGGTGATTGGATGGTTGTCAGCACCTTCAGATGGCCACTAGTCCTTCAGGTTTCTCATTAGAGGGAGGTTTCAGAATGTAGTTTCAACAGATTATTCAGGTAAATCTCTAGATTTGCAAATATCCTAGCTGACTCATTTCTGGAGGATGGGTAGGGAGGTCTGAATTAGTTGTGGGGCCTCAGGCCCAGGGATACAGGGGCTAAGCTATTCACATTGTCTTACATTGTACTAGTTGCAAAGTATGGATGTAATATATACTGTGTTCTGTACCCTGTTTTGGATCATTTTCTAATGCAGGGGCATTCTTAGTTTTTCATAATAGTGAACTTTTTATTATTATTGTTTATTTCTGATAGAAATATTCAAATAATATAAAATTTTAAAGGTGAGAAGGTGATGGCAAGAGATGTCATTTCCACTAAACAATTGGAAGAAAAAGAAACAAAATGAAAATGATTACAAATTTATATATAGATATATATGAACAAGAATAAAAGTAAAAGGAAATAAAAAAAATTCAGGAAAAAAAAACTTTTATAACCTTTTTCATGACTCTGGCTAGTGAGAATGGCTGCATTGACCTCACTAGCTGTCTTCAGACGCTGTGATATGTCCAGAAGCTCTCCAACTGGACAATTGGAGACATCTTCAAATGCCAATAAGGCAACTGTCCTCTCCAACTCTTCTAAGAAGCTTTGCTGCAGATAACTCTAATGTGTTTAAAAGTCCAGTGCATAAAAGGTATACTAAACGTTAAGTAAAAAGAACATCAGATCCATGTATCCAAGTTCTTTGAACAATTAACTTTCATTTACTATGAAGAGAGATTAGGAAAATCTTTCATGTCAATATCAATAGCATATGCCATAAGAGATCTGAGAATTACATTTTCTTCACCCCTTGGTGCCAGCTCCTCCTGAGCAAATTCCAAAGCTTCTTCTACTTTTCCATTGCGAATAAGTTCTATCAGCCTTTGCTGTTGCAGATGGAAAAATAATTGGGGATTTGTATCCAGTATCTGTATGCAGAATCATCAAATCAAGTTACAAAAATAGTAGTATGAATAACAACAATATCAGTGTGAGACAGTGTATGCCCTTAGCTCCAATCAGATTGATGTACTTATGACATTTATTGTAAATGAATAAAGTACATATTTGATTCATGTTATAGTGGTGTGT